TAATACTGAGCTCCATAAATTCTCTGAGGAACAATAAATAACATGCGTGCTGCCCTAATAACAATTTCCGAACAAGAAAAGCATCCCATTAAGCTACACAAAGCGCCTATATAAGCTGACAATTGAAAACGTAAACATGAATCCCCTCCCTTAAGAATAATAGAAAATATCTTAAGAGTGTGAGAAATCATTGCACAACCTAAGCAAACATTTACTGTTAAAAGCGTAAGGCACTATTTTTTTATTGTGACTTTACTGTACATAGGAAATTAGAGTATTATCTAACAAATACATTCCTTACAGGAGCTATTTCAATGAGGTAACATGAACTGAGGTTCCTCAGTAACACCTAAACAAAGCCTAGGCTTAATTTTTGATTTCCAAGTGGTGCCTTGCCAGCAATGCCACATTTGAGGACCAAAGACCTAAGACAAACCCTACTTTTTCAGGCTTGGGTCTGGTCTGTTTACTTCTCAGGCTGCAAATCCTGCATTCAGGTCATCATCTCAGAAACAGGCTATTTTATAGCAACAAACTTGAATCCTGCTTACTGCTTTTTAGCTAAAAACAAAACTCAACACCCAAGGACACCCCTAGCACTGAACATCCACTGGGATTCCATTTATACTCCCTTAACCTGGGATCTCCTGCCCAGATCAGAGAACTGAAGTGGGAGTCACTCTGACAAACTTGTTTGTAAACTGACTATATATTGAAATATATRTTACCCTGCAACACCATTTTTTAAAAAGGCATCATATCTACACATCGGATATCTACATTGGAACAGCTAATTAGTCCAGTTCAAATATTTCCTTTGCAAATCTAATGAAAATATTATGGGGCATCTATTCAGTTGGATGAAGCTTTGGTTAACCTCAGCCTTGGTAGCTATTGGTAGTTGATGATTAAGTCTTAAAACACAGTTAGAGAATATTAAAAAATAGCATTTATCACACTGGTCCCTCGGCTATTTGTAAACTTACAACTCTATAGTTTTAGAAGTTTAAATCAAGATGTTAAACAAGAATAACTTAACTTTGGGACAGTATTTCTTGCTCACACCTATGAATATTATCCAAAGGATGACTACAAAAAAAGCCCCTCAATTTAGGCAAAACAACACTGCAATGGTGTAAAAAAATACACTGTATCTTCACTCTAACTAGAAAGGATGGGCTCTTCCCTGYTGCTGTGCTACCCTGCATTTATAAAGGGAGTAACTTACTACAAATTCCTCTCTAGAGCCTCCTCTTGGACACCTCATCCCGAGTCACCCTAGGGAAGTCACTGCTTGGCAGATGCTTCATTTGAGGTCTGGGCACAAAACCTAGAAGGTGGTAAATGAGCCCACGGCATCCACTGTGGGTAACGGGCCCTCCTTCTGGATTCTTGCAGATTAAGAATCCAGAACATGAATCAAGTTTATGTCAGTTTTTATCTTTTTTAAGTTGCAGAAAGTACAGTGGGGATGAAAAGACATTTTTTCAGGTTGTACTTGAATTTTTTTAAAATTCCTTCCCTCCAACAAAGAGGTAAATGTTGGTATCCAAACTTGTTTTCCTGCCAGTTTTATTCAGAGGTACTTGGCACGGTCAAATTTAAAACCATTTGGAGGAAGAACTTCTAACAAAAACAGTTTTAGAGAAATCTGTTTCAAGAAGGACTAAAAGTTGTCCTCTTTTGCTCAACGTGGTCACTATTTAGCATTGGTTAAGAGCTGGAAAATCCTGCATGCCAACAGAGAGACTCAAAACTTCAAATTATGGGAGTGTTCCTAATTTTTAAAAATCCCCAAATCCTGGCATTTATTGAACAAYGTGATGACTCAGGCCAGTGAAATGGCTCTTAGTAGTGTCCATAGCGCCTGCATCAAATCTGCATTTCCACATAAAAATTAGCAAGGCATAGATTCATAATGCCACATTATGTTGTGCTTAGTTCCTAGTGACCTCCCAACGCGTGTTGTGAAGATTCACTCTTTAACTCTTTAGTCATTGCTAAGAAAATTCAGACTGTTGGTATTTTAATGTGTGTTACTGGATCTGAGACCAGTCCTGAGCTGACCCTATTGCCTGCAGGTCCACAATTTGTGCACAACAAAGAATCCAAAAGGAAGCCAGCAGCACTAGCCATGTTCATGGCACCGTTGTGCATCTCCCTGAGCATCTTCCTTGCTTCACTCACCAACCCAAACATATTTCTGAAGCAGCCACATGGACAGTTGAAGCAATAACTCCGTTTTTAAGGCTTAGTGCTGTGACATGTGCATTCTCAAATGAGTCTCTTCGGTTTTCAGACTATGCACGGGTCTTCTCTAACACCGCRCACTTGGATAGAAGTTAAGAGCTGCAATATCTGTGTTATCTTTGCACAGGATGGTGGCCCCGACATCCTGGTGCTAAAGGTTTAGAGGATCTCTGCTGGCAAGGCTATTTTCAGACGATGATGCATCTGAAAACTCCATGCAGAAGCTTCACTCAGACTGCTAACATCACTGCTAAAGCATCCGAATACCATCAGACTAAGGGGAACACAGGCTACCTGYATGATCCTATTGAATCAACAGGCATCAATTTTCAGAAATAAATGCAAAGATTTGTTCATGCTTATGTCCTTCTGGCAGATGTACTGCAGTTTCTGGATACTGAAGTACTGCAGTGTTAAGTTCAGTCTGAAGGTTATTCTTATTTTTTTTGATGGTGCTCAGAGGAGAGCTGGGGCCTGAGTTTCAGAAAATGTTTCTGGATACCCTGGATTAAATTCTGGCTAGTTGTCATTGCACAGTGTCACGCTCTATAATGGCTTTCTATTCAGAAAAAAAAAATATTTAACTTATTTAACTGGAGGAGTTTGCCAGTTCCAAGCAGAGGGATCACAGATGGCAGGTGGATCTGGCCATTAGTCACAGGGGAGAGCTAGGAATCCTAGTCAGGCTCCTGGCTCCCCTGCACCTAGTGCGATCCCCAAGGTTCATTAACCCACAGATAGCACAGGATGCATTTTTGCTTCAACCTTCACCTTATCGCTACAGAGAACATTTTTTCTCTCGCACTGAGAAACTGCTTTCCCACAAAGTAGCCTCATTCTCATTTAAAGGAAAACTGCAATTTGGCAGGTACCCATTGCACCTCATGCCAAAGGGGCGCTCTAAAGTTTTTATGTCATAAATATAATTTAGCATCAGACAGATGACACGAGCTACGAGGYAAGATATACAGGTCACTGCTCCCCAGGAGGGTTTTTGCACTCCCACCTCTTGCATCCCACACAGAAGTTGGCCTTGGTGCTGGAATGATTAAACCAACAGGTTCTTCCATCTGCTACAATGGGACCTTTTCACTGGAACCTTCTCACGGTAATACCTAGGGCTCAAAGTATCAGAGAGCCTAGGGATGCAAAAAAAGTACCCCAAATTCAGAAGTATGGAGGCAAAGGAGGTCAGAAAATACCTCGGGATGCATTTCTGGGTCACCAGGCGCTCAATGACTTCTAGAATAAAACCAAAACACAGCAAAGAAAAAAAAAAATGTTTCTCAAGGTGAAGGGATTGAGAGAACAACCCCAAAGCTCAATTAATGGAAGTTTTAACTCAGACCCTAAACTCACAGAGAGTGTAAAACAGTCTGTAACAAGGCACTTAACTATGCAAGTCAGAAGCTGGGCTTTAACTACAAAGTTGGTAAAAGTGATTTCAGACTCACTATTAAAGTTCTATTACATAGTGCTTATAGGAGCAATATGTCTTTCCCAGACTTCCCAATAATAAACATGAAATCCCTCTGTGAAACCTGCTTCCTAGCAATATGTGGGGAAAAATGCCAGTTCTCATGGTGACATCCAGAAATAAATTCACTGTTACAAAGTCAGTTAAAACAGTGACAGCTGTTTGTAAATTCTCATGTAAATTAATACTTTAGTTCAGCTGGCAAATAGTGGTTTAGTAAATTAAAGCTAATTATTGCAGTTTTCCTTTAAATTTCCGTGGCCTATAAAGCTGATACTTATCTCCAAAAATCTTCTGGCACAAAAAGGATAGAGGCATGTCACCCAGTAAAAATTGGCAAGCCAAAAAGTTTATTTTTATGTGCTTTTATTTTTGATTGCCATATGAAGATTACCATATGATGACGCTGCTATGGTATAATATGCTGCAAGAGTAAGTCACACAAAATCCTGTCCATGGCATTTGGGCTAATTGGATAACAGACACTCAGCAGACAAGAAATTTGAAAAAGTCACCTTTCTTATGCTAATAAAATCCTGAGAAGGCCCCTATAATTTGCTGCTCCCATCTTTTAACATGGGCATGCCAGAAAAAGAATAGAAAGAGAGAAATTATAGATCCTTATGACACAGAAAATGGTAATATCTTTTGTCTAAAAGGTTAAAAATTTAGGACTGCTAATAGCCTGGGCACCTGCATAAACAAATTCGTATTTATGTCCTAAAATAGGTGACCAGCTGCAACCTGCAAGGATGGAAATTACAATAAGGCTAAGTAGGTTGGCCATGCACTGAAGCACAGAGCTGAAAGCACAGCACGAGTGCAGTCGTGAACAGGGCCTTACTGTAACACAGGCAAGAGGAATGCCACGTTACGTCCAACACAGCTGCACAGCTGTGCTCTTCATATGTTGGAGCAAAGCTGGCCACTTATCTTAAGAACGTAATTAGATTATCACCAGCTAATGGGATTTGACAGCACTGATAGGAGTTCATATAGGCTCACAATGAAAAAAACTCTGAGAATTCCAAACTTCAAAGGTAGTTCTTTCCACCAATTTAGCATTTCTATGTTTTGTTGGTGTGCAAAAGTGCACTGAGACCTTGAAACGGATTTTTAAATTTGCCATGTCTTGTTAATATACTGCAGTCTTCAAATTTACACAGAGCTGCAGTTCTCCTGGTTTTTCTCAAGTGTCACTCATCTAACTTAGCATGACAGCTGAGAAACGATGTCAGATGCGCTACAGTTCAGTTTAAAAAACATCCTCTACCTGGTATCTCTGCAGTGATTGTCTTGCTGCTCCCTGAAACCTCTTCATCATCATCTGATGAACTCGTGCTCGAGTCGCACGTCAGGTCACTATCGCTGGTACTGCTGTCCTGCAGCAGGTTGTACTTCTTGCGAGCAGCGGCCTCCCGTTTCTGCCTCAGCAGCCGGATTCTTTCTTTGTGCTTTTGGCTTCGATGACCTTTTACCTTGGCAACGCGGCCGTTCTGCTTATCACTAGACTGTCGGTTTTTCTTGGCAGCCATCGTTGAAGTTTCGCTTTCGGACCTGGATCGCCTGGATTTCCTTGCCACGGTGGCCCCGGGCGCCCCCGAAGGGTCTCCCTCTGCAGCAGCCTCAGCTTGGCAGGGCTCATTCTCTTCTGTGGAAGACAACGTGTCGGAGTCGGCCAAGTGCCCGCTGGAAGAAGGGGAGAGCATGCAGTGATTGGAAGAGTCACTCTCGTACACGCGGCCGCCCGCTGGCTTATCGCTCTCCGTGGAGGCCAGCTGGGACTCGGAGGAGTCCCGCCGCAGCTCCATGAGCAAGCAAGGCATGGAGGAGAGCACTGTGGAGTCCGCTGCCGCGGGCGCATTGTCCTTGGGAGCCTGCGGCTCCAGCTCGAGGGGCCCGTCCTCGTCRGGAGCCGCCTCCGGCTTTTCGGAAGTCTTTGGGGGCGCTTCCGAAGCGAGGAGCTGCTCTGCTTTTCCTGCCGCCTCCATCTTCATCTCAGAGGGCGACGCTGCTGCGGGGCTCAGAGCATGGGCAGCACCCGGGCCAGCCAGATACGGGTGTCGGCAGCACAGCGACCTGCACAGGGAGAGAGCAGGAAGAATCATTGACACAAACCARCCACTCCTGGTGCTCGCAATGCCACCTCATCCACCACACGGAACCGCTGCTTCCCATTAGGGACAGCACAGCTCAGCAGCAGTTTGGTTCTCTTCATTTACTGTTTCCAGGGACCCTGTCCTGTAACACAAAACTCTTCTTGCTTCTAGGCACCCACGAAGGATGGTGCTGGGATTGATGAAATGCAGTTCACCTCAATAAAATGATCACAATAAATTAAAAAAGATAGAAATATTTCTGAAATCTTACGATTTATTTAAATTTTATAAAGTGTAAAAAACATATGTTCAATTTTTATTTAGATCTTCAAGTTTATTTTAGGAAAAATTTTAGTCCTCTGGAAAAATGCCAGGCTACAAGTTCCCAGACTTGAGCTAGACAGACCGGAATATAGTTCAGTTCCCAGGCCCATGAGAAATGTACTTGCAGTTGGACGAGGCCTCCAGCTTGCAAGGCTTTCAAGGCAGTTCAGCACCTGAGAGGATCAATACGGCACAGAAGAAACGCAGCCTTTCTCAAGTGACACAGAGCAGCGGTGGAACATTACAGGCACCACCACAACCGGCCTTCCCAGGGGAGCTGCTCTTCCAGCTGAGCATGGCAGGCTGCACGTAGCAAAGGCATCTGCAAGTGCCAGGGAATGACACCAAACCGGCAGGAATTTGGGCTTTCCTACATCCACACATAGCACCTCTGCAGACATTAAACTCAGAGGATGATCACAACGTGAGTCAAATGCTAAAAAAAAAATCTAACTATCCCAGTACCATCAAATGCCTCGTTCAGGTGCTCTTTGAAAGGTGCTACTTGTATGAAACCCTGTATATTGAGCTGCTTCCTCACTCAAAATCTGACAGAACAGCATCAAATAGGATGGCTTGCCAGCAAAAACCAGCATCCACCCACATCAGGATCCTACGCTTTTCTTCAAGTTATACTTTGATAAATTGCATTGCTTCAGTACAAATATTAGGAACAAGCTATCCAGCTGATTGATAACTTGCATATTAGCAACCCCAAATGTACGTAACCACCTTCAGGGAACATTTCTAGAGATACAGTATTCATCTCTCTAATCCTCATTTTTCATGCTCTGCCTTCCACCAATATTTTCATTTGGAATTCAACCCACAATAAAGTTGAAGAAAAAAAAATTTGCAATTATCACATCCACTTACAGACAAACTGCATGGAACTAATTGTTTATGGGCTTAAAAGTGTAGTAGACAGTGAATTTATGACACTTTAAAGAAAATTTAGACATTTAAAAAGCAGCTAAGTTTTAATGTTTTCTTAAAAAAAGATTTCTACAGACTTGAATAGCCTGAGAGAATGTGGATGGTTCCGAGATCCCCAAATCCATGAACCCCAAAAAATCCTTCCTCAGTTTCCTGATCTACTGCAAGCTTTTTGTGACACTGGATGCTGTTTTTTTGCACCCCATGTTTCACAAAAAAAAAAAACCAAAAAAAAACCAAAAGAAACAAAAAAAACACCCACCACTACTGTTAATAAGTATATAAAAAGGAACCTTTTTATTTATTTTGGGGAAAAATGCCTGTCATGACCCAAATAGATTTTGCTGAAGAGAAGAATGTGGATAGTCTTGCGAAAAAAACATGTATGTCRAGGAGGACCAGGTCTCAAGGAAAAGGAATGTACAGCTTCTGTCTGCTTGAGAAATGCATTAACCAGAGAAAGGAAAAAGAGACTGCACTGAAAGGCTCTCATTCTTCATTGCCATTCACTTCCCTGGTAATAGTGCTAGAAAAGGTGATTTCAGGGTAAGCTTAGGAGAAGCAGCAGGTTTTTACTCAGTTGAGAACAAGGCAGCAGGGGAAGATGCTCTGTGATGAGCGGGTCCTGAATTAGACACTGCTCAGAAATGTCACGCTCTTTTTCCCGATGCACAGACACTGCGCTGAAGAGTTAAAAAAAGCATTTCCTAGAAAAACCGCAGTACTACATTCGGCTGGTTAAGAATGATTTTATTTTCTAACCACACACAGAAAATAATCCGCAGAAGAATTATTTCCTACGAAGAAGTAAAATCAGATATCTCCAAAGAGTGAAATCAGGGACTCATTTCTAAGGGCAAAAACCCTTAATTCACATGTGACGAGGCCTGCAGATCTGCGAATCAATGCCGAAGGCTCAGCCCTTCTGGGCTGCACTCAGCTCCCTAAGGAGCAGGGTYGAACCATGCACGAGCACCAATATCTGGCCACATATCCTGCTCCTTAAATATTCCTTCTTTCTAACTGTGAATCCTGGCATTTCAGAAGGAAGGGGAAGTTTCACCGTGATGAACAAATAAGGCCCGAAACACTTAAAAACTCCMGTTTTAAAGTTAAAAACACAAGTTGGAAGTAATAGGAATGTTTTGCTTGATTTTTTTTTCCATTTAAACAACTGTTAGAACTGGTATAACAAAGTTATCTGGTCATAAACAGGGGAGAGAAGCGGTCTGATGGACTTGAATAACAGGAAATGAGTCTATCATAAAATAAAGTTATTCTTAAGGGCAACCTGCTGTGGAAAACTGCTAATACTTAAGAATGTCTGCAGCTGGTGAGAAAAAGGACTAGCTTCTACTTCATTTCAGCTCAGCATTCCTCATAGTGAATCAGTTTGAGAACATATAAGATGATAATGTGTGATAAGGAATATCACAAACATTTCAATTAYTCCCAATTTTTGTTTTAATACCATTTTAGCACTGAGAATCAGGAAAAAAAAAAAAAGAAGAAAAAAAATTCAGTGAACCACCACCTTCTAGAGGTTATTCTGCTTCATAGCTGTGTCATAAAAGATGATATTCTAATCTAATTCTAAATGTGTATATATATAATTTAAAGAGCATTATACAGCATGCTAAAGAACACAGTGGCTCATACCTATATAAACAGTTATTTCCATCACCAGTGGATTGTATCATCTCACATTTAACAGGTGTAACTAGAGTCAGATGGGAGAAAATAAAAGCAGAAAAAGAAGAGTACCAAGAACTTATGACAAAAATTACATAAAAAACCCAAATGTTTTATGTGTGCAAAGAGACGGACAAGAACTGCAAGAGTTCTCATGCACAGATTTCACGGGCTATGTAACGATAACATAACTTGTTACACTAAATAAYTGGCCATTACCATGGAAGTCCACTCCTCCTGAATACAAGGAGGAAAAACACTGGCAAGCGCCAAAATAAAGCTCACCCTGACAGAAAAGCACGCGGGTCTGAAGATGTGAAGTGCTAATAACAGCAGGCRTTCCTGAAGCTTCATCCAAAACCTCTGTAGGTTCTTCATGTTGACCATACCTTTTATCTGCTCGCAATGCCCTTTCTCTCCTTTAAGTGTCAAAGTTTTTCTAATCCAAACTCACTTGCAATATTCTAGTACTAATACCACATACAGCTACGTCTAAGAATATCTAAGCAAATGTAATTAAAAACTAATCAGTCTAGATAATCATCCTTCTATCAGACAAGACTAATTTGCATCAAGTGTGAAAAGACTGATGTTTTCTGCACTTCTCAACCAGCCTTTTGGCTTCTCCTTTCCCCCCCCATCTCCCTTCTAAATATATTGCACTTTTTCCAAAGATGCCCCTTATTTTCTTATAACAGCGTAACACACGCTTAACGCTTAATGCGACAGACGTACCAGGAGTTAAATTAAGTCGAGATCGTTGACTCCGATTTGTGATGCTCTAGAGCAGATTTTTCATAACACTAAGCCACCCCCACGCACACGCTGTGTAATTTATTTCGTGTTCCTTTGAAAATGCTGCCCTGAAGCTGACTCACTAGCATACCATCTTACCTAAGGCACATTTCTGGGAGTGGAGTTGGCTCTTTATCAGATGATTCATAAATCAGGCCTGGTAGCAATCCTAAAAAATCGGAACTCTTCCCCAGCCGACATGAGAGAAGAAAAAAAGGCATGAAAATGAGAAGAAAGGATCAAACTAGTGCTGTTTCTATGGGCCCTGCTGCTCCTATTCAGTGTTCAACAGGCTGCGTATACAAGTTACCCAAGAGCAAACAGAAAACACAAGTATAAAAACTGAAACAAAGGTTTCTGAAGCGCCATTTGCAACCTCAAAGAACAACATTTTTCATCAATAAGTAACAAGAATTTACATTTCAATACATGTTTTCGTGTTGTAATGCTCAGTGCACATAAACATTCATATTCTGCATCTTTCAAATAAAAGAGAGCTACCATTGGACGGGTTAGATTGCAAGTCTATACACAGGGTTCCAGAAACATTCACYAGCTGTGCTGGAATCCCACAGAATCACAGTCCTTGTAAAAATAAATTCATTAGCATACAGAAAGAGGCATGAAGTTGGTATTTACCCTTCTGAAAATCTAATTTCTTTCTCATGCAGAGACCCTTTTCTCAAGTGTGCAATGATCTGAAGTCTAAAGCACTCCTTCCCTTCCAAATTAGAGAACAGCTTTTCATAACTCTGTCCCTAAAATACTTAGCAGGCCCACTGCTAGTTTCTTTGCTGTTCTTTCAACAAAACTAGTGACAGAAATCAATCCTGAGAAAAAMCGAAGTTTTATTTCTTTTTCTCTCTGCCATGTACTACCTTGCAGAGATCACTTCTCGCGGACAAGCAAACAGATTTACCAACTTTCTAAGATTTTGATTTTAACAAACTTCTGTCGTTATTTCTATTGCATTTTTCTGATTCAAAACAAAGCACTCTGTGCTTCCCCCTTTAGTTTATGCCATTCTACACAAACGGAGTTTTTCTGATCCATACCTTGCCATTTCTGCTGGGTTTCCAGGCAGCAACGTGTGCTGTGGTGCACGGATTGCAACAGCCCTGGGACGAGATGGACCTGTCTGCCGGCCGGGCCATCTAGCAGCCATCAGGGTCCTTTGTAATTCAACTTGCTAGTTAAAAGCTGTGCCCTCAGCACAGGGGGGTT